AATAATACTAATAATAATAATTATAATAATAATAATAATATTAATAATAATTTTATACGACCGTTCAGAGGGACGAACACAGACGAACGCAGGTTGACAGTCCTCTCAGCAGCATCGAGTCGTCGATTATAAACTAATTAATTGTACATTCTAGGTACTACAGCGCGTAAGATAGGGGAAACGAAAGAATGATGAAAATTGCGATAGTTCTGAAGTGTACACTATCGCCGAGGAAAGAACGAATAAGAAGAATAACAAGGAAAAAAAATATGATAATACACGCAACATCACACACTCTTGACACTCACGTGCGTACACACACACACGCGCACACACACGATACACGCAATAAACACACAGACACACAAATATACACAATTTACACGCTCGCACACAACATACATGCATCCACGCAACGCTCGTACAATGCGCATACACGCACACAAACACTCGCTCACACACAACAAACAAACACACACACACACACACATACGTATACACACACTATATATTGTAATATTATTTTTCGAACATAGTAATGTAATGTAGAATATAATATATGTATTATATATATATTATATATATAATATGATACTGTAAACGATTATTTCGTAATAGCGCCAAGCCTGGACGAAGTATTTCGAAGATTTAAGAGAATTAATTAAGGTGGGCCAGAAGCGTCGGCAAGCCGAGTGGCGCCGGGTCACGCTACACATATTTTTACCGAGATTTTTCGAATATTCAGTCCCCTTCGATTCCTAATACGACGATATCTTTAATGGAAAAAAGAAAGAAACAGGAAAGGTACTCGTGCGCCACTGTCGCTTCCGCGCTGATTTTCTTAGCGTACAACCGTTGATCGGTGGTCGATCGGTCGAGGTTCGATCCTCGTTGTGTTCACGGAGGTAGATTCACGGACAAGGGATTTGCTTCTTTCGACTCGATTCTCGCCATGCCTGGCGAATCGACGATAGTCAAATGTGTAATAAAGAAGAGAAAGTCCGAGCTGTTCCGAAGAGATAATTGACCTTTCGACGACCGAGCCGGTCGATTTTCAATTCGTCGGATCGAAGAGTGAAACGGTGGGACGGAGGGAAAGGGTGGGTGGGGGGGGGGAGGGTTTGCGCGCGTGTAAATTAATGTCTACAGCGATCGGTGCGACATGCATCGATGTTCCGAGATGCTCCCTTCGATTTTCATTCTCTGAAGCCGACACACGCGTATCTTAATTTTTCAATGTCCGCGACGAGGACGAATAGTCGAGCAGAAGCCTGTAAAGTGGGTGTGGTTGGTTACTATAATATGAATAAAATGAGAAACGGAAAGTTAGTCCCGCTCCTCCACCCTCCTCCAATCTCCTGCCGGTCCCGGATCATCATCCTGATTCCTTTTTCCTTCAAGTTTCGAAGCCCGCCACGTTTAGAAGTTCCTCGAATATCGGCTCGATGATGGAATTAAAGACGGAAAGAATGTTGAGGAGGAATGGCGATCACAAGAGGGTGAATATATAAAAAGAAAAAAAAACGATAACCGACAAACCGATGCATTTTTTCTAATTGTCGATCAAATCGACGTTCAAATTCCGACAACAACTTTTGTAATACGAATGCGAAGTTAACTAATATACTAAGTTGCGTTCTAACGATACATCCGTGCTCGGATACATATATATACACATATTATATATAAATATATATTAATATTATAATTATTAATTATTGGCCATCGGAACCACGCAAAAAAAAAACGAAATTCGTAATCCTGAACAGTTGGCGACTAATAATACATACACTTCTCCACTTTCGTTTTGTTTTGTCTTTTTTCCTTTTTCTTTCTCTGTTTCTTCTTCTCTGTTTCTTCATCTTCCGTTTTCCTTTTCGTTTTTCATCTTCTGTTTTCTATGCAGTTGTTATATTCGATGTTTTGTTAGAAGAAATATGCTGGCATGTTGAATCGATGGGAGAGAATCAACAAAATGCTGGATATCATCTATTTTCTGCGGGGCGCAAGCTGTTCGTGGTCGTTTTATTTTCGCCCGTTTCTCGCGTGTTTCGCGCGACAATTCGAATAAGGGGAAAGACTTCGAGCGACAAGAAACCTTCTCGTTTCAATCTTTGTTTCATCGATTACAACTACGCTAAACGAACGTTGGCATGTATTGGCGAGCCCGTAACTACGCATGTTTAGCGTGCAAATCAAAAAGTTTCAACGTTTCACTGTTAAATGTACGAACAGCTCGCGCGTCACTTTGAATAGACAGAACAAAATAAAAGAAACTGTGTGGGTTAGAAGAAAATTAACAATGTGATGTTTACTGATCAAATATGTCAAAAAAGAGGAGGCCCACTGGTTGAGGCCCGACATTTCTGAGTACACTATAAATAATAAACATTATGTAAAATTTATTCCTGGATATATCTGATTTCCCTACCGCAAATACAATGAAAATATTTCGTTTCTTCACCTTCTGTCCCCTATTTTCCTCTCTACCTGTCTACACGTATGTGTATCACGCATACAAATGAGCCGTAGTTCCGCGTGGACGCAATTAAAAAAAAGATGATATTTGTAACGTAAGTGATATCTCGCCACTTCGCATTACGCAATTCATTATTTTTTGCGGATCATCATAATTATCAACCAATTTAGTAAAAACCTTAGTAAACCAGTCGCATACGTCGGTACCATAATTCATTCTTCAATTATTTTCTTCGACTAATTACCTTCTGCGATAATCGCGTTCAATTTGTTTTTTAAATTTAAGTGGCAGTCTCAAGAAATGAAGCATTCCATTGTATAGTGAATCGATAAATAGAATAATTGCTGAAACACGGAGCAATGAAAAAATATTAAAAGATCACAAGAATACTGCTATTTTATTTGTAATCCACTGGACCTATTTAGAACAAAAACAGTCGTTTATTTCACTCTAGCTTGTTACAATTAAGATGAACAGGTTTTCTCTTTTGCATGAAAATTTCGCGGTCTGCTGATAAGCGAGCATAGCATCGATGGTAAGTACAGTTGAAAATATCAAAAGTTCGTGAAAAAAAGCACGCAATATCATTTTCAAAGTCTTGATTAACCCTCCTAACCGCGGACGATCTTTTGGTTTTACAGAATGAAATCGCGAGCTGGTTTTGTTCGTAATGCAAATACGTCCTAAGAACTGTATTTGAAAGAAGATAAAAATATCTTTTTATAAATTCGACATTTTTGAAATACAGATTTTTTTCTAAATTTTACAAAATATGTAGCACGCAAATTCTACGTTGTCCGCGGTCGGAGGGTTTGAAAATAGGAACATTTTCGCATCGATTCGTCAAACATCGGAACCGAATACTAATTAAAATTTGAATTTAATTCATGTTCATTCGTAAATATCACCGTAGCTTTTGAACTTTAGATTACTAACACGCGCAATTTATGCGCGTTCCTACGATCCTCGGTAGAGAACGCTCGATGTCTAGTATCGTTATTGCCGCACTGTTCAAATTAGCGCATTACAGCTGACCAATCAGCCGTGCTGAACGATGCAATATGCCTTGCCTGTTCACCTCGACGCATACGATATTCCGTGATGGCAATGCAATGATAAGCCGCGGCTGCGCACTATCGGTATACGTTTCTGCTCATGCACGGGTCGCGGAAAACTTGCTTGAAGTTAGCCGTGGTTTTCCTTATTACAGCGTCGGTTTCAATGCAAGTATTCGTCGATGACATTTTCTTAGAAACAAAACAGAGATCGATGTACAACATTTCAATAGTTAATGTCGAAACAATCAATGAAACCATAACTTCAGCTTCAAATTGTCAGCTCGAAGAGAACCGATTTTCGTTAGAAGGAGAAAGTGAATGTGTTTGAACGAAATAAATAGGTTTTATAGAACCTTGACAATACGTTGATTTTAATCTGATTCGAGATCTTCTCATTAAATTCATATTAAATTCGTGTCAATAATTGTTAGTACGTGTTAGAAATTATTACTAAGCAGATAAGAAGATAACATCAATTTTCTCCATTTTGTAGCATCCACTCTTCCATCTGAATGATTTCAAGCATTGCGTTGAATTATCTCGAATTTTCAGTTACTTTTCTCCAGGAAAGTGAATATCGACATACTTGCATAAATTGCGGCTCGTTCTACATTTTACTTTGTCATCAGTAGCCTGCCGATCTTCATGCAAAATCAAGATTTGCTTTGTCAGTTGCGGTGAACGAGAGCCAAATAGGAGTTTTCTTCTTTTCTCAATGATTTTAATAAATTGAGAAAATAATATGTAAACAATGTTAAATTTTTAAAACGTTTCCGGTGTTTTAACTTTCATCTACTAATTTTTACAATAAATGGATAAAATCCGCAGTCTAGTCGTCAGCTGCAATAACAGGTTAGAGCTGCATTTTGCCACCAGTTTTCGCAGCTTGCGAAGATAAGAATCGAGCTAAGGGGGAACAGAAAGCTTCCGCAAAACAGTGAGATATTCAACATATCGCCACAGTTGGGAAGCCAAAAATAATTACTTATTATTTATATAGATCTAAATGAATTGCTCACGATAATAAAATGTATTTCTCATTTATAAATACAATTTCAATTGTTACTTATCAATTATCATTATTTGCAATTAATTATAAGCAGATCTTCAATCGTTCTAAGCGACATCATTGATTTCGCGAAGAAACACGCAAATTCTTCAATCATTATAAATTCTCTGATAAAACCAAAAATTACTCGTCATTCGCTTATTCACCTAAATTCGAATAAGATAATAATGATATCGAATAAAAATGATTTACTGTTTCCAGATGCGGAACAATAAATAAATCATTTCCGGAACGATTTAAACGATTGTTTAATTAAACGAAAAGTGTAATTATTATCTACAAATGAATGAATAAAATTTTACTGAAAATATCGCGTCGTACAAGGTGGGGAAGGTATCCAGTTTCAATTGAGAGCATGCGTTCTCCCGCCTATGTTCTACTAGCCGATGCAACTTCAGACGGTGCAACGGATCTTCCATTGCATACTGGTACGCAAGCGTCGTAAGTACGTAACTGACTTGGCTAATCGTTAGACACATCGGCGATTGATGCCTAGCGCGTGTGAATCGGACTCGAATACGTGGTAAAAAATGTGTCAACGTTGTTGGGGACAGTGGCACCCCGAACAAGTGAATTCGACGCGTGCTGCACACGGTCAGCAGGGACAGCCTCGAGGGAGCGAAGATCACACGATCTGAGCACTGGTCGCTGGAGCAACGTGCCTGCCAGCATAATACTTAACAGTGCAGTCGCGTGACAACAAACGCGGACCAAGTTACATGGCGAGTTACTCGCGGGGACGTTCCTCTCGACAATCCGAGTGAGTGGCTATGGTTCAATCGGCCAGTCCCAATCTGGAACTTAAACGATCTTAAACGGTCGCGTTTCTTTGATCCGTCCCGTCGATTAGCTGCTCGCTGCTCATTCGAATTTCGTAACAATCAGTTTCCAGAGGATCTCGGTGACCGCCAACTGGCCAGCAAATAGTTTTCATTTACGATCACTGGCACGGATGTCTGATCGTAATGACCGCGATCTACTGCGGACGATTCATTGACCGCGTATTTATCGCCGCATTTCTTTACGTATCTCGTATCCTTGCGTGTCGCACGGTTACGGCACCAGGAATCATTGTCACTTCTATTCTTACGAAACTGTATTGGTATCGATTATCGAAGTTCAGGAAATCGACAACGTTACAGATTCGGTAGAATTTCAACTGGATCGTGGGGAACTGATTTTGCAACGCGATGCAGACGGTCGTATAAGATTTTGAACATCGATGCGTATTGAGAAATAAGATCGAATTGAAATTGATTTTTGTTTCGAGAATTTCTTATTTCTTCCCGCTTTTGCTCTATCTTTGCGAAATGTACGAATTGTATTTGTTATCTTCGGAATTACGATTTTGACTCGGCTTTGCAAATTTCAGTTTGAATTCGCCTCTCATTGTGGCTGAATAACGTAACATCTACTGTTCTGATTATCCAGTGCATTTTATTGGAACATGTGTCTTTATTCCCTTTTGATATCATATACAGTATATAGATTTATTGCATTTTCATTGCTTTTAGATTGTTATAATACTCGTCGACAAATTTTCCATGTCTTTATGCCTGTAGTTTAAATAACTGAAAATGTTGTGGAGAGATATATTCCATGTGAATACTTTTCGCACTGATCGTGCAAAACCCCATAAACGTGGCTAATATTGATTACCGCACGTGTTACACAACACAGTCGGTTCTCCTACTAGTTCAAATGCTATCGATTTGATCGGAACACACGTGTTACTGTATACAGAGTCTACACTCCGAATTCGTCATTTTTCGAATCGAATTCACCTATTCGCATGTGAAATTCACACTTTGGCAAATCAAGTTTCTCTGTCATATCTTTACACGAATCTCTTGCGCACATTTCTTTTCTAGTAAAAATCAAATTCAACAGAAATTTATAGTTCAGAAATTTTCGAAACTGAAGTGCCTGCAACAATGAACACGAAACACTGATAAGTTCATATAGATATTCATACATTAATTATGACAATCTGGAGATAATAGTCACAACAGAGGCATTAATTACGTCACTTATGGAATTAGAATATTTTTTTCGATTTGATTTTTTGCCAAATGTAGGGTGTAGGTTTCGCTTTTGGCGCAGGGTGTTTCGTCAACACGAAGAAAATGACAGAAAATATATGCATTAATTCTTGACACAATCGCACGAGCCGGTCAATTTTTAACCACGCCTTTCTCGTTGGAAACGTCAATGCAATCCGATTAATCAATGATTATTATTACTTTTTGTTCTCTTCTATGGCATTAGGTATGAAACAAAAAATATATGATTTGCGGAGAATTTGATCCGAAAAATGGTGAATTTGATTTGCAAAAAATGGTGAATTTGATTTGCAAGAAACAGTAAATTTGAATTACCAGCCTTACATTGCTACATTCGTTCAGAGAGATCTTCGTTAATCTCCCTTATTATGATAAACGATCCTCGATTGTGTGATCACTGTATTCTAAAAGAATCATTTAGAAAATCATTTTTGGTAGCAATCTATAGTGTCCAGGTTTCGAATAAACGAATGATTAAGTGCATCAGAATGAACAAAAAATGCTGTGCTCTAGTTGCGTATAAAAGTAAATAAATGGAATTTATGTCGAATTGTATAAATTTATCGATTTCGTCGATAAGAAGGATTAAACGCGCGGTTGATCGAATGAAAGTTTTGAAGTGCTGATAAATTCTCAAAAGTACTGTTCCGCGCAACTTTCCCTCTCGAAAGGGCAAACTAGTCACGTATAACGAAATGACTGCTCGTTAAAATTCGATCGATTTGTTCCGTTTTACGTTTTCATTTATTAACTGAAAGACTTCCTGTACAGTGACACAATGGATGATGACATTGACGACAAAGACGATACGAAGCGGTAAGTTCTCCATTAGAACATATATTTTTCTGACTGTTCGATCAGGTATATTCTAAAGTGCTGTTAATCAGAGTATCGTTCTTTTTTATCAGAAAATCGAGGAATTTAAGTGAGAAGAAGCGGCGTGATCAGTTTAACATGTTGGTAAACGAACTGGGGAGCATGGTCGGTTCAAATGCACGAAAGATGGACAAATCTACTGTATTAAAATCTACGATATTATTTTTAAAAAATCATAACGGTATGTACAGGTGAATTAACGTAAAGGATTGCCATTCTTCAATACTATATTTATCTCGACTATATAAATATTACAGAAATAGCTGTTAGATCTAGAGTTCATGAGATTCAGGAGGATTGGAAGCCATCGTTTCTATCGAATGAAGAATTTACGCACCTGATATTAGAGGTATTATCGACGTAATCAATCTAAAATAAAAATTATCTCGCATACTTTGTGAACATTAATTACATACTTGTTAATTATTCGAAACACATGGAAGATTGTCTGTGGTTTACATTCTTACATTAAAAGACAGTCACAATTAAAGAAACACTTATTGCAACACTTTGACAACTAGACAAATTCAAACATAACAAAAATAAATGTGTAATCGCGTAGAGCGTAGAAATCCATTTAAGAGAAATCCATTGACAAGTTTGCCAAAGAGGATAGAATGTTACTCGTTCAGTAACTTAGAATTTGATATTATCTCTATTTTCCATTACCATAATTAAACAACTCCTGACGAAAAGTATTCGAACACATCTTAAAAAATAATCTTTTTAAAGCTAAGCAAAAAATGACTTGAATTTTTTGAAAATGTTAAAGGGTCCAATTCACCGTACAATAATTAAAATACTTTTTTAAAATTTTGCCGTTAGCTGTAATAACAAAAAAATGATAAAGAATGTCTCGTTTTTTAACTTTATCTGAACCTGGAACGAAAATTTAAAAGAACGTGTTTTACAAATCTCTGTAACTCATATGCATACTGAAAATTTCATTGAAATCGCTACAGACACTGAAAAATGTAAAAATTGTCTGTTTTTGGTTGATCCCGTACAAAATTGCGATTTTCACGGTGGTTAATTGTTTGTAACTAATAACAACGTCGATCAATTTCGATGATATTTTCGGTATACATTACTGAGATCTACAAAATATATTCTGTAAATTTTCGTTACAGGCTGAGATAAAAAAGTTTAGAAACGAGAGTTTTTTTATTTCTTTTTGCCATCATAAATTTATTTGCCATAAATTAATAACAAAATTTTAAAAAAGGTGTATCAGTTATTGCACAATAAACTAGTCCTTTTAATGTTTGAAAAAAATTCAGGCCTTTTAGTCCAGTTTTAAAAAAGTTATTGCTGGAGTATTATCGTTAGAATACCTTCTGTCAGAGATGACAGTACGAGAGAAAAACAGTTCAATCCGTAGGATATGCATGGAGCTGACAACTAGAGTAGTATACATTCCTAAGTAAGAGCTAGTTGACATTTTGATTGAACTGGTCGAGTCTGATGCTTATGGTCTACAGAATACATACATGAGCGACCAAAAATTACAGTGCAGTCCGTCTAGATTTCATGATCGATAAAACCAGAAACAATTTTTTCAATGTAGGCTCTGGACGGTTTTATAATGGTATTTTCTTCAAGCGGGCGCATTTATTATGTGTCCGAAAGTGTTACATCACTACTTGGCTACCTTCCAAAGGAGCTGGAAAATACGACTATTTATGACATAACTTTCCAAGAGGATCAATCACCTCTATACAACGTTTTATTGAATCCTGTCAACACAAGGGACCGGCGAAACGTTAAGAAAGGTAGTTACTCGCACGAAATCGAATCGAAGATCAATGTTCGTCAATAATATGCTTTATTCTCATTCATAGAGGACCAAATATCTTTCTCGTGTCATATTAAAAGGGGTGGCCGAAATGTCCAAGAGAATTCTGTATACGAGCTTGTGCAGTTTATCGGATATTTCCGTAAGTCTATACTCTGTTCCATTTTGAATACATATACAATGCAATTAAGAATCATTAATTTCGTTGAAATAAATGAGTGAGAAAGTATAGGGCGAAATTTTTTTGTAGGGAGCATTGTTCCATAGAAAACATAATTTTATTATGATGCATGAATGGTGTGGCTACTTGAAATGGACTGTACAAAAGGAGGCAAATTTCCTAGTATCATCGTAATCAAAGCAAGGAGCCTTTACATTATGGCTTTCTTCAAATATTGTAAACTGTATTTATGTACTCGCGGTAGTAACCATTCAACAGGCAACAATGAATTATTTCTTAAACGAAGTTCCTTATGAAAAAATTTCTTCATTTGTTCGTAGAAACAGCAGCCTCTATTATTAATCATGAATTGCTCTGTATTCTATAGCTATGGAATTACAGTAATTTCTCCCTAATTCGCGCCGAGATTGCGCACAAAAATGGACAATTTGAGAAGAAGAAGATACGATTTTCTTCTATGGGAAGAAGACGATACGAAGATACGGCTCGTTTTTATAGTTACAGATTGTCAACAACTATGAAAACGAGACGCGAGGCTCAAATGATCGTATTTCCTCTTCCCAAATTGTCCATTTTTGTGCGCGATCTGAACGCGAATTAGAGAGAAATTACTGTATTCGTGAAGATCTGTTTATTCTTTCATTGATTTCAGGGTCTGACGTCGATTCAGAAGTCGATAATTTTCTACCGAACACAAAATTCGGGACCACAGGGGGAATGGACACGAAGTAATAGCTCTTCTGCACGATCGTAAACATTTCCTAGCAACTTTTATAGAACTGTTCTATAGAATGTACTCTTCCTTAGGTTGGTTTTCGTCGGTACGGGACGACTGCAAACGCCTCAGTTGATCCGCGAGTTATCAGTGATGGACAACACCAAATCGGAATTCACTTCTAGACACAGCCTTGAATGGAAATTTCTGTTCCTTGATCATCGAGCGCCTCCCATTATCGGGTACCTTCCGTTCGAAGTTCTTGGTACTTCCGGTTACGATTATTATCACGTGGATGATTTAGACAAAGTCGTCATGTGCCATGAATCGCGTAAGTAGTCAATCGAAAGACAATTACACCGGGTGATTCGAGGATTCTTAGTCATTTGGATGCTACATACAGTGATGCAAAAAGGAGAAGGGACTTCGTGCTACTATAGATTTCTGACGAAAGGCCAACAATGGATATGGTTGCAAACGAGATTTTACATTACCTACAATCAGTGGAACTCGAAGCCTGAGTTCATCGTCTGCACTCATTATGTAGTTAGTTACATCGACGTGATCAAAGAATTGCGGAAGGAGTCAGAAGCTTTTGGAAAAGATCAAAGCGAGGACGTGCTGATGGCAGTTAAACAACAACAGGTACGACTGAGTTATCTTTATTTCATTGATACAACTGTATAACACCGATTTAACGTTTCGATAACCAATAGATAATTAAAGTTACCATACATTAACACTCTGACTGTCGCGCCAACAATCTAAAACATTTGATAAAATTCAAGTATTTTATTTAATCAAATAAAAATTGAAAAGTTAGATTCTTAAGTTTTACGAATCCTAATTAACTCAGGAAGATATAATAGATTAGCGTAAAAGTTCACTTTAGAATCTGAGCAGATAATTCTGTCATAAATATATGGTCATTTTTTTTATATTTATCGAATAAGACATATTACATTTTTTTTAGTAAAAGGTAAACAAAATAAGACAATACAAAAATTTGCCTGAAAACAAGCAGAAGGCATAGCAAATGATCATCCCACAGTAACCGGCTAAGTAATTAGTACCAGTAATTAAACTCAACTTTGACCCTCAATTTTTTGAATAAATTAAAAAGTGTCCGTGAAAACTGTTACGTTGAGATAAAAACGTCTCGTTCTTTGTGAACATTGTTTAAGCATGCTCAAACTTTACAATGTTGTAAAAGAATATATCATAGAGTTCGAGGGAGTCTGCAGAATCGGTTATCGTAGAAATCGTTCGTATAGCTATAACAAAATAAAGGGCATCAAAATGAATGAGATGGCACCCTCCCAAATAATGATCAAATTTTTGTTTCCTTACAACTTGGTTTTACCATTTATTCACAAATGAATATTATCCGTTTTCAAGATTTTTAAATATTTCAAGTGGCCTATTAACAATTCTAAACTTGATTAAAATTTATTTTGGTCATCGTAAAGCTAATATGCAATTAAACATAAATTTTGTTGAACGTTACAGGTAACAACATCTTGCTCAGTACCATCGACGCAATGGCCATCAAAATCGTCAAAGTCGTCGAAATCGATAGCCTCCAACACTAGACCGAGACATCACGTCGATGGTTCCGAAAGTTCGTCAATGTCAGCCTCCATGCAAAGTTCGCCACACTCCCAAATAACACACGTGTCACGATCGAAATGCACCTCTGCTAACAGTTCGAAAACTCAAATACCTCAGATCGATAGTAGATCGCAGCAGCAACAGCAGTCGCAGCAATCCCAGTTAGAGGTTGATCAGAGTTGCATCAACTTTATGGAACAGACACAATATGCAACGGTTAATCTGCAACCTGTGGTTACCACTGGTTTTGCTGCACCTGCCGGACCAATTCTGTCGACCGTTCCTACTCACGAGGTAAGCAAACAAAGCGATCGATTTTTTGTTTCCATTCGCGTCCGTCCATCCGAATTTTGTCGATCAGAATACAAGTTTGCGCTCCAAATTAATTTTTTGTAGATCATTTCAACTTCTTGCACTAAATATTAATCCTTTCGTAGATCACATTCATATTTTCGCACACAAAATTGATTCTTTGACAGGACATATTCAGCTTTTAGCAAATCAAATTAACCCTTTTGCGAACTTTATTCATCCCTTTGCAAAGAAAATTAATCCTTTTGCAGATCGAAATTGGCAGTCTTTTACTTGATTTTTAAATTTAATGCACATTTATGTATTTAGTGTAAAATAATATAAATTGCATTGCAAATAATTAATTTTCATTCATCTTCAAGAATTGTTTGTGAAATGTCATTGTATTTTTAAATTTATTTTATTACAAATATTTATAAACAACTGCATTTTATTTACAAAATGATTATCTGAATTTGCAAAAAAGGTGAGTCCGATCTACAAAAGGATTAAAATTTTAAGTGCGAAACCTATATAATAGGGGAAATGTTAAAGTCTTTTCTGCTGCGTGGATTAAAATTGACTTTGTATCGTTGTATCATTCGAGGAACATGCAAGCTTAATGGCATTAAGACATTTACAGCAGCTGACGTGATGTTACGTTATACGAGAAACTATAGTTACATGTTACTTACGTAATATTATGTCTTTTTTATATCCTCAAGCTAGACATAAGTGACTCACTACCGTCTTCTTATCTTGTAATTGCAATTCGACATAATGAGTGTTTATGATGCTAACTTACTGGTTTTAATTAGAAAGTAAAATTAATTCATTCCGACAAATACTACGCACTTTTAATACTAAACCTACTGTGACTGTCAAAATGACTGGTTCAACATTTTTTATTTTCAAATTATTGGGATTGTAAAGATCCTTTTATAGGAAATCATTAAATAGTTATATTAGTCAAGTGTAGATCATAATAATAAAAATTACGAGAAGTTATAAATAATTACTCAATTAATTCATTCTAGTTTAAACTGAATTAAATAATTGCGATAGTAGATCTCTGATAATAGAAATTAAACTTCTTTGTTACCATTGATTCCTTTAACTAACTTCCTTAATTAATTTAAGTCCTTAACTAATTCGTTAGACATGCCCGACCAAAATCTGAAAACCTGGAAATACTTTCAGATGTTACATCAGCAAGGTATCGTAATGACACCGCAACAGAATCAAATTCAAGACGAACTGCAACGTAAACACGAGGAGCTGCAACAGCTGATAGTGCACCAGCAAGAAGAGCTTAGGAGAGTTTCCGAACAACTATTTATCGCTCGATATGGAATTCTGTCGCCGTTGCTGAATGCAAGTATCTCTCATTTTTACTTATTACGTAACAACTTTATTAATTTTAGCTTTTACTCATACGAAATAGCTCAAGTAACCGGCTAAAAAGATTGAACTTTTGTTTACATAAATCAAGAACACTATATTTTCAAGTTTATGTGAACACTAAAGTTTCAATATGAAATTCGAAGTGCTTACTAGCAGAATTACAATAGATTGGATTTTCAATTTGTTCTCATATGAAGATAATTTCGTAGTATTGATCTCATGTTAATATTCAATGCATTATTGATCGTGTTGACATTTTTAATGAAGAATGTATAATTGTAAAATAACTTGTTGCATTATATTGATCTAAATAATTTGATGGATTATGGACGAGATTATTTTAGTCTTTAAACAGCTTTCTTTTTTAAGAAATTCTTAACTCCGAGTCTTTGATTTTTTAAGAGCTATTAGGAAACTATCAGTAGATTAAAATAGGACAATCATATGTCATGGAAATACAGTGAGGAACAAAGCGGAGTCAACCTTTATACCTTTTAAAACGGTATAACTTTTTTAAAAATGAATTAGACGATTTCAATTTCTTTTAGATGATAGAAGGTCAATAATTAAGATACCTTTTCTTAATTTTGCTATTACTTGAAATGACAAAAAAAGTGAAGGAAATAAAAAAAGTCTCGTTTTCTTCAATTGCTTTATTGAGTTAAAAATGTTAGTTTTTTATTTATTTTTGTTACTCCAAGTAATAGAAAAATTAAAAAAAAAATGGTATTCTAGTTGTTGTCTAGTAGACTAGTCCTTCTATCATCTAACAAAAATTCAAGTGCGGTGCGTGCAATTTTAGTGCGGTTTTAAACAAATGATATCGTTCTGCAAGGTGTTGACTCAGTTTTGCTTCTCACTTCCCCGTAATTTCTCCCTAATTCACGCTCAGAATGAGCACATATATGGACAATTTGGGAAGAGGAGATACGATTATTCGAGCCTTGCGTCACGTTTTTATAGTTGCCGATTGTCAACAACTATACAAACGAGCCGCACGGCTCGAATAATCGTATCCAATTTTCCCAAGTTCTCCACCTTTGTTTACAAATTGCGGACCTGTACCTTGGAAACAAGCAAGTTCGAAAATTTTAGTCATTACTATCTAAGAGAAATGAACTACCTAATTTTCAAATTAAATAATGATATTGTTATATTTTATCAGGGCGGACGCATCGCCGGTGAAAAATGGTTCTGTCTACAATCTTACGAGCTTTGGAGAAGTGGGTTGAAAATCTTTGTACTTTAACACTCGCATGACGGAGCTCGGGTTCATTTGGACCCTGAGTACAGTATTATTATTCAGTATTATTATTCTATCTAGTTTCTGACAATTAATTTCCATTTTCACATGTTTTAAGGTCTATAGAACAACCAGCGTGTTTAGAATGTTTCCAAATATCCTTCATAAATGACCCTAGGCATATGCAGTTACGTTTTTGTCGATAAGCTCCGCCGTTTGAGTGCTAAGATAATTATATTTTCTAGTTTCTATATAATAAGTACATTGATATGTTTTATAATTTAATGTAGGAAATCGTCTTCGAAATGAACCGCCTCGGAATGCTAGTCGATTTGTCGCACGTATCTCACAACGTTATGAGAAGAGTACTCGAAGTTACAAAAGCACCCATAATGTTCTCTCATTCGTCAGCATTCAGCGTTTGCGAGAATTATCGTAACGTTCCTGACGACGTGCTTCGAAGTGTCGTGAGTCTCCTTCTTAATTGCATTAGCGAATTAATTGTCCCCAATTGTACAAAACTAATACTCTTTGGTATATTTTCAGAAAGAAAACAACGGCATCGTAATGGTGAACTTTTACTCGGGTTTCGTGAATTGCAACTCGTCGAGAAACGCAACGATGCAAGATGTGATCGGTACGAACGATTGTAATAATTATACTTTATGTAGATTAGAAATTTTAGAGCCTGTTTTTTGGATAAAGGTTTGAACTTTCTTTTCACAGACCACATTAACTACATCCGTAATTTTATCGGACCCGATCACGTCGGCNGATTATTCGAGCCTTGCGTCACGTTTTTATAGTTGTTGACAATCGATAACTATAGAAACGAGCCGCAAGACTCGAATAATTGTATCTCCTCTTTCCAAATCGTCCATTTTTGTGCGCAATCTGAGCTCGAATTAGGGAGAAATTACTTTGTATTGGCAAAGAGTATTGTATTTCGAATTGTCACATTATAGCCTATCTTTATACTACTCCTTACTTCAGGCGGGCATGTCGTACAACGCGACGAACGCGTGTCAACAGATGAACCGCTGTAACTCGAATAACACCACTGTGCAGCTTCCCACATCGAACAGTGTACAGAGTGTGAACGTTCTTCCACTACCCATCACTGTTCCAGTGCCTCTGGTACCCACTGAATTATTCTCCCACTCTTTGCCAGTCAGTCCAGTGCAAACAGTGTCGACCACGGTTCCGGGGAACGTGGCTACGATGATCCAAACGTCGCAGCAATTGCAGCATCAACAACAGCCGCAACGGCCACCGCAGCCGCAACCGCAACCTCAACCGCAAACCCAATCGCAAGGACCAACGCAGCAGAATGGTAATCCCTCTGATCTCGTGCCTTTCCACATCTGTCCTCATCAAGCGAACATACTGTACAATGACATGGAACCACCATCGAATCAACAGCAAGGCCCATCCCAGAATTGAACTTTCGATACGCCGAACGCTTTTTATCCCGCAACTTTAATTCCGCAGGGGAGCCAATCGCAAGGAATTGGGAACCCCACGATCGAAGTTACGCGGTTACGTAGTTCTGTTCGAAAATGGCTAGATCGATTTCGGTTGTGCAGAAAGGGTACTACTGGCATAACGGAAATTGGACGGGCTTTGTCGATGTTTGATTTCATTAGCGGAATTATTCATTGTTGCGCGTAACAGAAACTTCATCTGCATCATCGTTAGCACAGCCAGCAATTTCGTCACCGACGGAAGAAAAATACGCGACGACTTCGTGTAACGTATGATGCGCATCGAAATAGAATGCGATGGACAAATATCATTCCAACGCTGGAGCTTGCCAATTAATTTTAAGTTCTAAAAATGAAATTGTTTCACTCTTATTCAGAAAGTGATACAAACGCATAGTGATCAGCTTCGAATTTAACACATAGTGCGACTATTTTGTACCTCGGATAGGTATCTGGGATCATCGGAGAGCATGGAAAACGTTTAAACTCAAATTCGTATTTCCGCCAATTAAATCAGCGTGAGATTTTTGTAAGTCTTGCATCGCTGGGATAGATGTCCCGTACATCGACTGATCAATATTTTATAGAGTTATTCCGTTCTTATATGCAACGAGTAATTGCAACGGGTGATTGCAACGAATAATTTCTCATTTACGATTATTATCGGACCGTAGATATTTACGCAAAATAGAAATCGTTTGCATCGATTGTACAGAGAACACGTTAAACAGAGATATGTATTTTTTCTGTTGATTGTTTCGATAAATTGAAAATAGTGTAGCAAGATTCTGAAATACTTCCGATGCCTTCGTTGCGCCGCGTTTCACTTGATCTTTTTGCCATAAATGCATAAAATCCGCAGTCGTATTCATACAGATAATATGATTTCTACAAAATCACCGAAATCGTACAAAAGTCCGTTCCTATGATAGATTTGGTTAAAAAAAGAAGCTATTCCACGGTTACACAGGGTCTCTTTGAGTGACAGTCGCGCATATATTTGTGGCTATAAGGAAAAACGCTGCGAGTCACAATTACAAAAAGTTTAATTAATTCGACTGCATTAATTTAACTGTGGCATGTAAGATTTACGTAATTATCGGAGAAAACATCTCGAAAACAAATCTTGTAGACTCAAAAAATTTATGCAATGCAAAGCATGCGACTTCGCGGCGTTCTTCCTTGCAGCCACAGATATGCGATGAATGAAAGCCATTCGTGAAAGCGCGCCAAAGAGGAAAGAAAAGATATATCATTGAAAGTGTATTGCGGAAGATTTTCGAACAATACTATTTATCGTTAATTGTTGTGATTAGTAACATAACGAAGCTGAGAAACAGTTTCTTACCTACAATAACATTGAGGATGAAAGAAGTGTAATGATTATTGTAATAATATATGAATGTTACGCGCCGACTGACCACAATTTAGAACAGCCCACGGTTGATCGTTTGCTGGAGAGAACCTTTAGATTTGGACGAAGGCGTTTCAGACAGCGGGGTCAAGTAATAACAATAAAAATCTTGAACCAAATACTGGGACAAATAATAATTTCAACAGTTTTTATCTAGGAAAGGCCGCTGCAGCGCCATTTAAGCGTTTTATAAGCAAACGGAATACTATGTAAAATTTAAGATGGGACCCATCTGATGAGTCTTGTGCGTGAGCAGCATTGAATTTAAGCAACTATTTCCGTCTAATACCTGTTGGTAATCATGCCTTCGGTATCCTCGTGTGAAAATCTGCCATCTTGTAACACGATCTTGTGACTAAAAGCTTCCAAAAAGGATACCGATTGTGATTGTCTAGCATGCGTATCTATGTACAGTAGAACTCTGTTGATCTAAAAGTGTACTGGGAACAAAAGAATTTCGCTAACCGTACGGTACCGATAATAGAGACTCGTTAATAGACTGCGGGACTTTATGCATTTATTACAAAAATGAGCGAGAAAAACACAAAATAGAGAAAATATCAAATGACTTTAAGAATCCTATTATAATAGGATAATATATATATATTATAGATATATATAATAGAGTAATATATTGTTCATTACTTATTCAAATTATTATGTAAAAGAACAATTGTCCATGCGATTCCTGTTTCTTGCAGTGCGTGCTCAAAAATTTTAGTTTGCATAAAACAGTATATAAAGATTCGCAGTATATTTATTAGTATTCTCGTCTGCTGGTACTTACTAGTTTTGACAATAGCATCTGACATATAAAATATGCGAATAGAGCACATCTGTACATCTTGTCGAAGATGTTGCATGTTTTACCAGCATCACATATGCGCGACGATTCAGATTTTGTGTGAAGTTCAAAGAAAGCTTGTGCCTGTTGTTATTCTAAATTATGACACATACCAACGAACTTGGGAGAGTTTATAACTTTTCTATGAACATATTTTTTTAACATTGTGTAATCAGATATGTTGTTATTAATAGAATGTTATGATTGTCGAGGTGTCGTTGAAACGAACGCGCTAGTGGTTGGAACAGCGGTTATTATTATATTAAGCCGTAACGCGGATAACAAGAACTCGTTCATATGTTTTTATACTTGAAACTTGAGCTTCCACTTATTCGTATAAGTTCAGGTCGGATAAATGAAGTTCTACTGTGCACAGCACGTATGCAAACTGTATAGACTGGACTAACTGCTTCACCGGACTTTGACGAAGATAGTTTAATTTATTTAAAGTACAAAATGCATGAAGGATCACTTGTAAAGTGATCGGAAACTTTCTATTTCCAGATAGGTAGTTTTATAATGTTCGAGAGCTAAAGGAAAACGGTAACTCGCATTTTGTTTAGCAAGAAGATGCATTTTTAGATATATGTATGTCTATATATACAGTGTTTTCGCGCTTAAATAAAGACAATCTATTATCTCGTAAAATATTGCAGATACGAAATAACTTTTTAATCAAAATTATGTGATACGAGTACGCTTACGTCTTGACAAGATAAATTTCTTTCTTTACGCTACTAATTTAAGGGATAAAACGGTCAAGCTCCGTTTCTTAAATAGGATAATACGCGTATATTGTGGATTATATCATTTGATAGTGCCTTCCAATGCGAATCCACCGACCAATAAAATATACTCGATTCTGAATAATTTTCGAAGTATTAGGCATATTAATTCATGGGAAAAAACGGAAACTAGATCGACTGATGAATGTAACTATTTAAAAATTGCGATGTTATTGTATTTTCTACATATCGTTAACTAATACTTTACGAGATAATTGGGTCCATCGCTTAAATACGGACATACTGTATGTGTGTATGTACATGTGTATGTATATGGGTATGGATATGTGTACGTGTATATGTATACATATATATATATATGAGTACGTGAATGTGTATATATATATGCATGTGTCTGTGATGTGTATGCACATGTATAATTATGTGTATACTATGTATATTATGAAGAAGAAAGTAATATATTTTGTTGTAAATGTATAGTAATAGGCCTTTTCACAGATATCTCTAATATAGGGAAACAATATGTATTATGAGTGTCAAAATCAATATATTTTATAATTGTTATTGAATGGATTGTGTACTGATACTTTGTATACATTCCAAGGGAGCAACGCGAGAGAAACGTCCGACTACTTTTGCATTATGACAATAACTTCCATCGGTTGATTGTACATCATAGTAAAAAATGGGATAAATTATACACAATGTGAAAATAAAGGAAGTTCCTTAACGATTCAAAAGTGATTTAATTATTTGATATTTAATGCTTAACGAATACTTTCCTGACCTTTTGCATTCATTTCTTCTACAGGCAGCAAAATAATTCCCGTTCTTACAGATCAGAGAACACATTTACAAGAATCGTAATTTTACATGTTTGGTAAAATTAAGATTCCCGTTCAATACACTGAACGATTCAACATTTTTCTATTTAAAAGTTTAGGCTTAATCATTTTGTTAGTCTTTTCGTTATCACAATGTCAAATATTGGACGCGACATCAAATGGCAAAATTGTGTGTCCTTTTATAAGGAATATCACCGTACGTTTAAATGATACGTTAAAAAATATCATTTTGACAGTTTACATCCTAATATAAAATACGGATAAATTGAAATTTTTATTTTTACATTATGAACAAAATTGTTATAATTTTAATTTTCTGGTATTTTCTGCAAACGAATGCCAAATATAATTAAATACATTCCCCCATTTTATGGCATTAATTAAAGCTTTATAATATAGAAAAAGACCTTGTAAAATCATAAACTGTAATGCCAAAAACATTTGACTTCTATACAATTACGTACTCGAAGATCATTAAACAACAATAAAGCACATATTATAGTATAAAACAGTGTTCTATCTTATTCTCCCGAAATACAACACGAATAATCACGAATATGGACGAATACAAACGATAATCGTAATTCCATAAATCAAAGAATCATTTTCTCTACGAATTGAGCGTAGATGTTCGTAATTATGAATTACAACGCCCCCGATGTGATATTAGGGAAAAAATTATTCATACAGTACAAAATTATTTTTATTGATTCAAATATAATTCCAAACCAATGTTATCAATTTTTTGCATTCGAAGTCTCAGTTTCTCAACATCTATTTTAGAATCATTGTTGTACAAAAATAAAGTAAATGAACTTATTATTGTAAGCTTACAGATACGTTCCTAGAAATGTTATGTTAGTTAATTAATCATTATAACCATGTTTTTTTCTCGGGTTTATCGTCGTATAAAGTATTTTATTATTTGGGATGAAGATGAATATTTCGTTTACTTGTATTTTATCAGTTAGTTTGAGTTTTTTGATACATTTCGGAAGATTAGTCTACAATTTGAGTCTGTATTTGTTGCGGTGAGTATTTTAATTCGGACAAATTCAAATAAGGTGATCTATTGTAGTCAGTAAGTTGCATCATTCACGCAGTATAGCTGATAGGAAAGTGTGAGTGGGGAAATATTTCCGTGACCTTAATGGAAAATGATAGAGTTATGTGGTTCCTTTTGAAAAGAATGATTCGGTGATGCGTTATAGACTAGTGATAGGGAGTATTACTTTACTGTTTCAGTTTCTTCAAAGCGTCCATTAAAATTTGTACTTCTTGATTCACGTTGTGAATAAGATCTTCGATTTGGTGCTTGCTGTCAATTATATGGATACTCTGAGTGTATGGATCGTATCTTGCTCCAAATTTTCTTGGAATACTCTCAGCGAATTTACTGTAATTACAAAAACAATAAATAATCAGCACACCTAAATATTTCAATCTTTTCTATTAAGTATTTTAAATTTTTAAGACTGAACTGTGTCCAAGAGGAGCTCGATAATTTTCTCCCAAATAATAATTTTACAAAAACTTGTTACGTCATAGTAATCTAAATAATTTGATAGATTATAGATGACGTTATTGTAGTTCGTGAATAATTTCTTAAAAATTCGTCTAAGTGATGATAATTCTATAAGACTCCCATTAGACACTGTCCAATAGAAATTTTGCATTTTGATATCAAGGAGTTGATTTTTATAGATTTTAATGAGCTAAACCGGTTAAAGTGTTTGAACCTTGATTTTTAAAATATGCCCCTTTTCAAAATTCGACTTCTCAGAAGCTAACGGTGATCAGGAAAGACGTCTTCCGGAGTTGTGATTACTAGACTGTGGATTTTTATGCAAAGTAAAAATTTTTTACTTCAATTGCAAAAAAAACAAATAAATTGGAAAGAATGTACCAGTAGTCTTAAACTCTTTTGTTCTCCTCCTCCCCTGCTTCGTGTTTCACCTATTTAATTTCTTTATGAATGCATAAAATCCGCAACCCAGTAATTACTTTTTCAACACCTGCAAGACTCGCCTATTTGTTATTATATTGCAAAGAAAAATTACATTGCACCGACTTGGACAGTGTAATTGATCGAGAAAGTAACACGACATTGTTTGGGCACCCTGTACGCATAACTGGAAAGCAAGCATATTATTTTTCATAAGTGCATTTCAGATACATTACATCATTTTTTGTTTTGCATCTTCGAAGTCCTCGGCAACGAAATAGACGGGTTGATATTCTGTTATCGGGTACTTCTGCAACGATGTCTTCGCCGGTTCGAAAGGCCGCAATTCTGCTTTACCACTCAAACAATACTCCAACTCGCCAAAAGAGGAAAGCAAGCCGGCGCCGTACGCCTTTAACTCGCCGTTTTGTTGACAGATACCGTACTCCACAGTGAACCAAAAACACTAATGCATTACCAATTAATTTAACATTCTCATTATGGCAATAGACAATGACAATAATACAATAACATCGAAGGATGCGAATTACCGTGGAAAGTTTCTCAATGTACTCGTCGGGAGCTCCGAGGGATGCCAAACCGACAACTTGGCAAAACTGCGCGAATGAAGGATCAGCGAATAAGGGTACGTGACCCAATACTTCATGGCAGATATCAGGTTCAGGTGTGTACAATGGTTTACTTCTGTGCCGAATGTATTGCGTGCAGTGAAATACCCTGAAAGCCAAACCGGCCAGAAAGTCTCGGGAAGACAGCAAGCCAGCGACAGGACGAAGGCTGAAACCAGTACAATCTGCAAAGAATTTAAAAAATGTAATAAAAATGTTATCTATTTAGCGATTAATCCATTTGTATCCGCGCGCGATGATTTTCAACTATAACCAATTAATTAACTACTTTAAACACATCTTAAGCGGATGTTTTCTTGCCAAATGCTCACCATGTAGCGATAGTTAGATATTTGGCAAGAAATATTCAATAATTTTTTAATAATAAAATATTTATAAAAACAGAATCCGCAGGAGTGTACATAATATAACGTCTATCAATATAGATGATGCGTAATAATTACTCCCTCTAATTCGTAGAAAACGGGTTTTGTTGGCTCCCGCGTTTTGATAATAATAAGCACGAAACGCGTTTAGGCGTTTCCCGCTTAAGATGTGTTAAAATTAGTTACTAAATTTGTTAACTATTAGTTATCATCACGCCCCCAGTATCACAACAAAGTCATGAACAAGGGTACATCGTGCGGACTATTCCGTGGATTGGGGATAGTTCACAATCATCGCGCATACAAATGATTTGCAAAAATCGTAATTTCTCACAGTAATATAGGACGTTATTAACTTAATAGAGATTGAAGTTCGCAGTACTCATATGTATGTATATTGTTGAACGAAAGTAATATTAAACCAACTATTATTACAACAATAACTATTGAACTCTGAGAATTTTTAATAATCGCTTGAACATGCGATACCTTTCAGAAAGGTTGATATATCATCCAACTGAGGGATATTGTCTTCTCTGTAGCCGCAATTTTCGATAAGCAAAGGAAAGACGTAGTTGTGCTCTTTGCAGGCGTATTTTGGATATAGTTTTGTTAAGTTTCTAAAAACTACACCCCACGTTCCAACTTCTTCCTTGGTGTACTCCACTCTGGGAATGGGCTGGCCACTGCAACATTAATTAAATCAATGAAAATAATTACGAACCAATTAATAAATGAATTATTCTTTACTAGAATATCCGAATACAGTAATTTCTCCCTAATTCGCGCTCAAATTACGCAGAAAAAAGTATCTCCGCTTCCCAAATTGTCCATTTTTATGTGCAATCTGAGCGCGAGTTAGAGAGAAATTACTGTACTTTAAATTCTTGAGAAGACTTTACACAAGCCATACACATATTATGTATAAAGGCATTGCAATGTGATTCTACCTTCGGATTCGTGACTATTTAACCCTTCTACGGTATTCCAGATCTAAATAATCCAGACCGTTTATTAAGTTTGTTTTAATTATCACCTGTACTTAACACAATTACTTCTAGAAGTGTGAGTGACTAGAGTATCGTAGTAGTAGGAAGATAGTTTCTCTTGATTGGCATAGGAAACCTTATGTTAGGTCGATAGTGAGAACAACATGGCTTCTCTCTACATTCAGGGTAACCTAATCAAGATACGGTTTCCTTAAATAATACGGTAATCATCCTCGTCAAGTACAAAATTTACATACACATTTTGATTCATTCGAAGTATCCTAAGTTTTCTTAACACAATAAGATAACTTATCGTCTGCATAAGAATAAGAAGAGAATTCTCTACAAAGTTCTGCACTAAATGTTTTATTACGAAGTACGTATCAGTGAATAAGTATTACATGAATGCCATATGTAGTAACTTAAGTTTGTTTATCTTGTCTATGTGGTCACGTAATGTTTATTTCTAATTTGCTATTTCATGCCTCCGACTCTACAGTTGAACAAGATAAATGCACACTGCGAAATAAAATCCTTTACTACATATTTTATAAGTGCAATATTTATTTTATTGCTCTGTAGCAAACGATTTATTGCAGAAGTTTATATAACTTTCTCTTCTCGTTTTTATATAAAGAATAAACCCATGCAGTTTATCGGGAAAAACCTGAGTCACTATGCATACGATTTTGCATGCCACCATGCGAACGTAGGGTTTTTATGACTCTGTGTATATCTGTATTCATGCGCTGTTATTGCAATATTACATGCAATTCACCGACTAAACAACTTACAACCTTCGTTCTACACACTGCAAAAAAATTAAAATTGAAATTACCTTGAAGTGACTGGAACAACAAGGTTGAAATCATTTGAAAATTATTTACCGCTCTTTCAGTTACTTCTCAGCAAAATTATAGTAACGGGGTGGAAAAATAAATAATGTGGATGGAAAGATAAATCGAACTTTAAAGGAATGTATGTATGTACGTCTTATTCGATAAATATAAAGTTAATTATGCCCGAAAACAAACTAAAGACACAGCAATTGGTCACCCCACAGCAACCGGTTCCACTACCCCAGTTGAGGTAAAATACATAATTTAACAGTATAATTTAACACTTTAACTGCCGCATCACTCATATATGTACAACGGAATTATTTATTATTAATTATTTGGAAATTCAGTTTTTCTAATTTTATTAAGATCTGCAAAACGTAAGAACGTTGAAAAAGTAATCGATTCCATGGAACGTAACTTTTCAAATTAAATTTGGTTAAATAAAATGCTTTAATATTATCAAATTGTTGACATTGCTGACGTGGCAGTTAAAGCGTTGTGGAAGTTTTATTTCGAGTTTTAGAGGCTTTTACAGCTGCGCGGAAATTGAGTGAAGGAAACTTTCGTTTTATTCAAGTTTTCAAGTCACCAAAGCTCAAGTTATGGATGTTCGATAGTTTCTAGAAAGTAAATGCATGAGTACAAAATCTTTGACAGTGTATGAAATAATATACTGGAGTGTTAATTTACTGCACTAGAGTTCCACTTGAACAAGTTAACTTGTTCGTATTCCGATTTGCCAACGCGAGTAACAAAAACGTCTGAAAGTGAGTCGAGGCATGCTATTCGCAGCTGCCAGGCAATCACTGAAATCAGAGCTAAATTTTTTGCTAGTTAATAACGTTCAATATCAGTACATGAGCGTCCCTCAAAAATATGTGCAAACGGACTCCAGATAGGTACTATAAAAATATGAAAAAAATTGAGAATAACTTAATAATTATCTCTTAACTCTGTTATCTCAATTAATTCAAATAACAAAATATTCTTGTTGAAATATTGTTTTGTGTTTTTTTCGGGAATCTACAACAATTTTTTGTTTCGTAATTTTCGAAATGTGCAGATTATGTCGTGCGTTTAAATCATTATTTTTGTTAATGTATTCTACAATGTTCGTTTCAATAAATCAACATACATTATTCTAAATTTTGTTAAGTTAACTCATGTTTTTCTAATATCTCAAAAACTACTCGACTTTGGTAGAAACGTTTTTATTTTTAAACGAGAATCGTTATCAACAAACAATAAGTGTCTATTATTTCTGGCTATCTTTTTTAAATAATTGTACTCGCAGGAAATAATTGCAAATTTTTGTCGTGGTAAAAATGTTGGATATTTGAATTCATAATTGTCCTATCGTACGGCAATAATTATACAGAGAGAAACAAACAATTTAGAGAGTTAAACAGTGTACTTTACAAAATGCCTTAGTCGGCAATTTGCATATGAGCACGGCTTTAATAAGAAATTACAATAGTTGAGATAATTTAAAACATACTGTTTGTAATTGGCAGCTAAGTCAGCGAAGTATTTTCGTCTCTGTCTGTAAACCGGGTCCGTAAATCCAGGATGGTCACTGTCCAGTTCCTCGCCGCATGACAGAATTTGATTGGCAAACTTGTCCAGATCTCTGATTCTCTGTGGGAACCACGGGACTGTTCCCATGTTATCCTTGTGATTTCTATAAATAAAAAAAGATGACCATCGTATATAAACAGTGCTGTATGTAATAAATTATGTTAATTATATTAATTAGTTTATAATCATAAAATTTACATTACAGGTTCTGTTAACTATTAAATTAAAGTTAATGTGTCAAAATGTACGTCACGACGTACAAGTATTTAAAATAATAATTTTGCGCCTGATTTTATCAAAAGATGTCGATTTGATATCTGCGTTCTAATAGTCTAATGAGCAAGATATAGTCACCTAGAAATGATCGAAAAGTAACTGCACTGTTCACGTAAGGTATCCACTACAGCGCCAAGATTTCCACCAGGTGCACACTCCACCATAAATTCATAGACCTCTGTATGGCGAAGAGAGCTTCTGGATTCAATGTGTAACAAATTGACTTCGTGTTCCTGGATGTGAAAGCAATCTAATTTCACACTTCTTTAATTTTGTATAATGCACGAAATAATATAACGTATGTAGACGAAGAATATCATTAAAATATTAGGAACTTATACGAAAAAGAGTGCAACGAATTTTTAAATAGATAACTATAGATAAAGAAATAGAAGGATAGAATAGATAAAGAAAAATTCTATCGATATATATATATATAATATCTAATGTAAATTCTTATATACAGAATATATAAGAATTTACATTCTTATCCATATTTTTCTAATACAGGATATGCACTCAAAATTACACTTTCCATAGATCATATTCATCTTCTTGCAAATCACATTAAATCATTTTGCAGGTTTCATTCATCATTTACCAAATCAAATTCTCCTTCTTGCTAATAAAATTCACCTTTCCACGTTAACAAAATTGGCCGTCTTTTATCTCAATTTTGAATATAATACGAATGTATATAATTATTTATAAATAATACTTTACAAATAATTAATCTTCATTAAACTTCAATAATTATTTGTAAAATGAAACTCAATTTTTATATTTCATAAGAAATTCATTACAAATAATTACAAATAAGTGGACTTAATTTACAAAACGATTTATTTATAATGCAAAAAACCTGCATTTTCTGTTCAGAAAAGAAATGCAAACACGCATTTGTTTCCTATTAGCTTTGCTTACAGGTGTTAAGAAACAAGAAACTGTGTCAATTAGCAAAAATAATTTTGCAACAGCAACGTTGAAGCAACAAGAAGCAATATTTTACGAGAGTTCGATTGAGAAATATTGCTGTTCGACTTTTCGTGCCGTTCAACATCGACTCAAGCCGAAACAGAAGCCATCAACGCAGCAGCGTTAATCACTGCGCAGCTGTGCCGATTGGCAAAAGCCAACGTGCCTTAATAAATCGAAACATTCTTACACCAATCGATGTAGATGAAAGTTTTCCAAATGTATTGTATAACAGATACAAATTTCTAGAATACATTTTTTAAATTTCCAGTTTAGATCCAGAAAAATATGCTATAAACGATAACCATCAATATTTTTATTGCTAATTAAAAGTAATTACAGCTAATTGAGCTTATTTTACACGTCATCTAGTAAACGAATCTGTTTAACATTTCAAAGGACCTCAAATCACATTGGAACCATTTTGAAACAACTTTTCCTCCATAAGCAAGTGTTCGAATAATAATGAATACAACTGTGTCAATAGAAATTCTTGTAAACAATGCATAAATCAAAATTGTGAATTATAATACATATAAATTCTAATCTTCATACATTATCGTATAATAATTAGAATTCAGGAAAAATTTCCTTTGTCAATTAAAAGATTATTGATTGTGAAATGAAAATAAAAATGCAACTATATCTCATTAATTTACAAGTTTCGTTGTATTTTAAATATTGCATATGCCATAAATGCATAAAGATCCGCCGTCTAATCATTACTGACGTTCAAAATAAATTGGTATCTACATTTCGTTACTTTTGCAACTTTCTAGTTGTATTGTTTGTACTCACGGAGAACAATTGCAGATATCTTCCTAATGCGCCGACGGAATCCTCTTCTTTCGGAGAAAATATCAGGCAGGTACTTTTTGCAGAATCATTACCTTCTTTTATATAATTGCCGCCATGTATTAGTTTTGGCTTTGAAAAATAGAAAAGATTATTCCATTTATTATTTCTAGCAAATTTTAAGTTTATCATCAATTTGATTTTATTTCATAGCCGAATCCAATCGTATCCTCTAGAATTCTTGGTCTACTTCATGTTTTGAAATCTTTCAATAAAAAGTGATATTAATTGAACATAATGATAATATTATTTTAATTAATATCTGTCTTGTGAATCGCTTGGAAATCCTTTAGTTATAGTGTGTCAAGCGCGCCAGAGAATAAGCTATTAGATCTCAAACTATTGAAGATATACCAAAAAACTGTTCGCATAATAGTTTAACTCAGTTTTAACTGTGGTTCAAAATAGTTTTGGAACTTATCACATGTGTTTATTAGTACTATTCTTCGAAAAAAGTTCTCTCAACAAATTATGGTTCGATTAGAATAAAATTTAAAAATGACAGTTTTTCTGTGACGGAGGCAGATATTTTATTAATTAACATACAAAAGTTTTCAAACGTTATGACAAGTGCCAAATATTATTTAATGAATAACAACAATATTCAACGATAATTCTGATTAAAAACCAAGAAACAATAATATTGCTAAATAAATCGAGTACATGATATTTTGGGTTTTTATTTATTTTATAGAAACTTCATCGTAAATGTTCTTAAAGAATTTGTTCCCATGGAACTCTGAATATACGAATTCTATAATAGTTGTTCTACGAGAGCATTTATGGAGAAAATTAGCAACGGAAAAACTTCTTTCATAAAAGTTTCGTGGGAACAGATATTTGAGTACAGGTACGAGCAAAATTTTTTTTCAAACGGAAAGTACCTATTTATTTGTGTTTTTCATTCTTTTTTTTTACAACGGAGTACTTTTACCAAAAAAGTAAGAAAAATTCTGTATATTTTCTTCAATAATTATTACGTGTCAGATTCTTTCCAGAAGTTTAATTTAATAGAGGACGCGAAAACCCGTTAATCTGATTATGTATTCCCCATAAATTTCCTTCTCGATTAGAAAGTAGCAGCTCCAGACAGAACGTTTTTTTTTTCTTCTTGATAAACCATCAATTGGCGCATCAGTTGTCTCACTTTTGATCTTTGATTATAAAATTTATTAAAACTGCCACATTCGTCGAAAGAGTTAATTATTTAAATTGATGTTAGTCTGTTTGAATACGTATGGGAACAATTTTTCGAACTTCGGTGCGAAAGCAACTTAAATACCAATAAAGAAACTAATTAAATATGAATTTAAATTAAACTAACGTAGTACACTTTTTCATTTGACAAAAGATTGCGAAAGTTCGGTAGAAAATCCTTACGTCCCACATTAGAAACGTAGACATGTTAAACGAAGTTACACAGAGATCGGCGAAGACGCGCTGAAATCTCACTCAAACTTACTACCGGTGAGACAGATTTATAGGAACTACTTTCCGTTAACACGTAACGCGTCTGTTTTATACAAACCAAATAGCCCCCTCCTTCATTCACAGTTTGCTACATTTTTGCAGTGTTTTCCCCATGTAAATTTTACGACATCGTATGAACATTCGGCGCAGAAAACCCCCGATCTATCGCATCATTCGTCCGTTTTTCCTTATTAAAATGTTAATAAATACATTAATAAAAAGTATCTCGTAAAAACGCGAAACGTAATTTCCGTAGATTTTGCATCATGCTAAAGACAACATCGGGACTGTCTGGATGTCAAGGTCGATTTCACTGAACAAAAGTGATTTTGGTTTGGCTACCAGTGAATGTAAAGCAGTGTATTGGGTCAACTTGTTCGACTGAATTTAAGAAAAACATTTTATTGATCGTATTGATAAATCAACATTATACAAACACAATTCTATGTATAACACCATTATATGATTACTTCGTATACATTATATTGTTAAAAGCGGTGCACCTAAACTAGCCAACTTAAATATTTCCTCCAACGGTGATGTTACACGAAATGTGTCGTATGGAGTTAAGCGTGACGAATACGAAACAAAGACACGAACACAGTGCAAAAAGTAGCTTTCTTCGAGGTCACTTTTTTTCCAGAGTTTTCAAGGTCATCAATGTGATTCATGTGCGAACGTTTTGTATTGGATTGTGTGGCTAACGTTAGGATATAGCAAACACATAGGAATATTGTTTATCATTACACTTCATCGTTAGGGGGCATCGTCGAAAGGGTATACATTAATTTTTATCGTAGTTTTTTATTGTATACGTATATATTAACCCTTAAATGCATGATTTTTTGTTTTGAACTTTAAAAAATCGTTTTTTATAGGAATGTAGTCATAGGTTACGTAAAAAATAAATTAAAAAATCTAGGTCATAATATTGAGTATTCATTTTGAAAAAAAGTTGTATGTAGACTTTTGGCAACAATATGCGTTTATTACTAAAATTATTGTAGACGTAAACAAATGGTCATGTATTTATATTATCTATTAAATAAAATTTTCAAATGCAACATCAAACATTCATAGCTTACCTGACAACAGATGAGAAGTAATTTTTTTTTCAATTAGATAAATCACTCCTTCATAGGAAACTCGAAAAAAGAAAATATCTCTCCAAGTAACGCGTTGAAGGTTATCACCCACCACATTCAAATGTTAAAAACCATATAACTTACTCGCCAAAAGTAATGTCAAGTCTTTTATTTCACACATAGTCTATTGTCTATTGTTATCAACGT